GCATGAACACTGCAGGGATAAGGCAGAGCCCTTTAAAGGGTCCCCTGCAGGGGTACCTCATGTTGTTTTCCTTTATTAATATAAAGGTAGTCTTAGATTCAGGATCTAACCCTAATAACTGCAGATACAATAGGACATCTCCTGACAGGTGGTTAATCTCGCAAGTGGTGCATACTGTGGAGAGCTTAGCTGCCGCTGCGTTCTAGAAGCCGTTTAAGGTCTCACCATGCAACTGAATATGAGTTTTTCTCCATCTCACCTCTCACGTGCCTACACCTTCTCTTTTCCTCCCAGGATCCTGTTCTGGACAGACTGGGACGCTAGCTTGCCCCGAATTGAGCGACTACCCGACGGGGCGGGGAAGCCCAGCCTCCCCAGGCAAGACGGGGCTAGGGCGGGTGGGGGTCCTGGGTTTTGTAGTCCACCCCCCCCGACGCCTCTTCCCTTCCCTCCCCAAAAAAGGCCGCCTGCCCAAACTTTTCCAAAAAGTTTTTGCCTCTTCCCAAGTTCTCCACCACCGCCGCCCTCTTAAAACGCTGGGGCCAGGGGGGCTGGGGATAATGGGGGCGGTAGTCCAAGAAACAGCCTGCCCCTCCCCGGGGGTGTGTCTGCTTTCCTGACCCAGAGGAGGGAAGACGGCTGGAAAGGGGGGGAATAGACACCCCCGGGAAGGGGCGGCGGGTGGATGGGAGGGGGGAGATCTCCCTTCCCCCCCCCCTTGCAGGATGATTTTGTCTTTACATAACTTTGCTTGCCCCTCCCGCCGGCTGGCCATCCCCACGTGCAGCGCCGGGCGCGTTATCAAACAGGAGGCAGGAGTGGGGGCGGAGCCTGCGGGGAGAAAGAGGCTGCCAATCAGGAAGCGCCCGCCCCTTTCCGTGATGGAACTTTTTCCCTCTCCGGCCCCGCGGCGTTGCCGGGCTCGCTGGCTCGAGCCATCCATCCGAAGTTAAAACTTTGCCCTTTGAATACCCGAGAGTCTGTTTCACAGGGATCGGGAGTAAGGGGTTTGTTTTTTAAGCTGGTAGTTCAGACAACCAGCATATGTTTCTGCATATTTATTTTAGATGTGCATATGCATATGATAAGAACAGTAGGTTAAGTCCCAGAATCCCCAGATGCCAGGCATGCTGAGAGCTGCAATCCAAAGCAATAGATTTTCTCAGAGCAACATAATTTGTTACATCTCTGGCCCACCTTTTCTCAATGAACTCAAGGGGTGCAAATAAGCCCCGACCCCGCCTTCCCATATCCCCTTTGAAGGACAGTGAGCTGGGGGGGGGAACCTGCCCAGTGTCACATGTGGAGGATCACACAGATCAGTGAAGATTTTAAATGCATCTCCCAGGTAGGGATCCAACTCTAAAGACTGAAACAAACCCATCTATAGATACAGCAGGACCCACTTATCTGCGGGAATCAGTATCCACGGATTTATCTACACAGTCTGAAAATATTAAAAATAGTTCTAGAAATCTCTATGTACATTTCTAAAGTTGAAGTTACAGGAGCTGGCCACTAGGTGGAGCCAGAGACATTGCTATATATTGTGTTTGCTATTATCCACGATTTTCAGAATCCGCTGGGGGGTTTGAAACTGATTCCCTGCAGATATGGGGTGTCCTACTGTACATGTTTTTTTAAGGAGCTGGAACAATTTCCTGTGCAGTAGATCCTTCTGGCTGAGTTGAGCTGAGGGTGCGTCCACCAGGAAAGTACAATGGGATTGCCAGGCCTACTCCCCTTCCTTGGTCATCAGCCCTGTGATACTACCAGCCCTGTGCCGGGAAGGAGGAGAAAAAACTCAAAAACACAGGGCAAGGAATTGCCCATTTCTGCCCCTGGGAAGAAAAGAAATAATTCTATGTAGTTTTGCATTGTTAAACTTTTGGAAAAGAAACATGAAAACCGTGATGTGCTATGCCCAGAAAGGCAAATAGTGAACATTGCTGGATCATGCCCAATGCTGCCTTGCAAGAGCTCTTTGAAGTGGATTCCCCCCTCCAAGCAGCCATTAACGAGCTACAACGAAAACGATTGTTTCCAAGCCCAGCTGCAGATGCTGGAAACCGTGGATAATAGTGGATACCGCGTTTACCCGAAAATAAGACAGGGTCTTATATTCATTTTTGCTTCAAAAAAAGCAGTACGGCTTATTTTCAGGGGATGTTTTATTTTTTTCATATACAATACAACCATCTACGTTTATTCAAATACAGTCATGTCATCTTCTGGTTGCTGCACAGTGATGGAAGGCGAGCTTTCACTTAACTAGGGCTTCTTTTGGGGTAGGGCTTATATTATGAGCATCCTGAAAAATCCTACTAGGTCTTACTTTCAAGTTAGGTCTTATTTTCAGGGAAACGGTACAGTGGTGCCCTGCATAACGAGTGATTCATTTAACGCCGAATCCGCATAGCGATGTTTTTTTGCGATTGCAAAAGCGATCACATAACAATGTTTTAAATGGGTAAATATCACTTTGCGATGATCGGTAAGCGTTTTGCTTACCAATTTTCACATAACGATGTTTTTTTAAACAGCTGATTGGCAGTTCCAAAATGGCCACCGGGTAAAAAAATGGCCACCCGCAGTGTTTTCGCGCCCTTTCCTCGCTTACCGGGCAGCGAAAATGGCGGCCGCATGGAGGATTTCCGCATAACAGTGAGTTTTTTGCCCATAGGAACACATAAAACGTGTTTTAATGTGTTCCTATGGGCTTTTCCCCCCGCATAGCGACGAATCCGTATAGCGACGATTTTTTTGGAACGGATTATCACTGCTATGCGCTTGGACTTCAACTCCCAGAAATCCTGGCTAGCAGAGGTGGTGCTGAAGGCTTCTGGGAGTTGTAGTCCAAGAACATCTGGAGGCCCAAGGTTGGGGACCACTGATATATAGCATAGTAAGAGTAATACAGAAAAAAAAGTATTTTTGCATGTATTACCAGAACCGGACACTAGAGGGAGGAAGATACCACTCTACATGTTCTTGTTGAAAACTACATATTTTTAGTGTGTGTTTTTTTCTTTTAAAGTTTTTAATATTTTCAGATTGTGGATATGAAACTGTGGATACCAATCTCATAGGTATGGGAGCCCTGCTGATTTTCTGATGCCGTGGTTGTTTGACTTTACAGGTGCTTCACTGGGCCCAGAACAACGCGGACTGGGTCGTCCCGCTCTACTGCTTCGATCCCCGTCACTATGTAGGGACCCATCACTATAATTTCCCAAAAACCGGGCCTCATCGCCTCAAATTTCTTCTGGAAAGCGTGAGAGATCTCAGGGAGACCCTCAAGGAGAAAGGCAGGTCGGTAGAAACGGGGAGGTGCTTTTTTTTTTGCAATGTGTCAGGAAAAAAGAGAGAAATGTTTTTGAGAACTATATTGGGGCCGCTTGTTTTTCTTTGACCTTGGTTCCAGCTTTGAGATGCCTCAAGAGGAAACCCAGGAGGGAGTGTGCATCTACCCTGTACAGTTAGGACAGTTCGATGACACGCTGATAGACAAGGTTTCAGTCTGTTGAATTTTGGGGTTTAAAGGAGATGGATGCTTAAATGCCTTTCGTTCCCTCCCTTGAATGATGGAGTAGTCTTAAGTATCCTTTGCCAGACTACAAATGCCATCGTTCTTTGGGCTTCATTTGTGACAGTGGTATCAAAGAGGAAGAACTGGCTGGAGTAAATGGGTTCAGAAGACAAGGGTCTGGTTCACGAGGGAATTTCATCGTTCTGGAGAAGCTCGTACTCCCATCTCGCCAATCCCCGTCTAATGCTCTTAAACACAGTTCCATCCTTGTGTCTAATTATATTCCATCATATCTCCCCCCCAGTAATTTGGTGGTTCGCAAAGGGAAGCCGGAAGAGGTGGTCCGCAATCTCATTGACCAGCTTGGTTCCGTGGCTGCCGTAGCTTTTCACGAAGAGGTATGAGAATCGTTTTTACTTGTTTCAGAAGGTAAAAGAAAAATCAGAAGGACAGAAGTATTAATTGTCGGCCGTGCTCTGCAGGATATGGTGGGACCATATGAAAGCTAGCCACAGTGGGTAGACAAAGACTAAAAAGGATCAAAGAAACACCATACACAAAACATGCTCCCATGCTCTAGGTGACGAAAGAAGAGCTGGAGGTTGAGAAGGCACTACGTCAGGTGTGCTCCGAGAAAGGGGTCGCGGTCCAGACGTTTTGGGGTTCCACTCTCTATCACCGGGATGACCTGCCCTTCAAGCCCATTTCCAGGTGAATCGCTTTGGGGTGGCCGGCCAGGTGGGAGACACCATCCTCCACCTGCCAGCCCACGCTTGCTGTACCCCGTGGGTCCACCTCCCATCTGACCTGTTTTCCTTCCTTTTTTCTGTACGCAGGTTGCCAGACGTTTACACTCAGTTCCGCAAAGTGGTGGAATCGCAAGCGACGGTCCGGCCCCTCCTGAACCTGGCCCCTCTGCTGAAGCCTCTGCCTCCGGATCTGGAAGACGGAGCCATTCCTGATCTGGAGGATTTTGGGATGACGAGTAAGACCCGCTCTGTGCAAAACATCTCTTCATGTCGCCCCCGATGTAAACGTTCACTCCGGTGCAGTATTTTTAAAAGGGCACAATTTCTCCCACGGAGAAGGCTGGAGTGTTCTGCCGTCTTTGAATCCATAAAATTGGAGGGTTTGTTTTCTGAATTCTAGGCTGTCGGCGTGATTTCGTTAACCTTTCAAACAGACCAACTGAAATTAATGGTGGCCTTTAGGGCAAATCTTTACCAGATTTCAGTGGGTTTACTCTGAAAGAGATTGATTTTGGCCTCCTCCATGTCACCGTCTTCCTTAACAAATACTTTTTATAAAACTTGAAACACATGCTCAGATTAATTTGGGGTGGGGTGGTGGTGGATTTCTGACAGTTTGCAAACTTTGAGATGTGCTTTTTCATTTCTTTGTTAAGATACGAAGTTCAAATTTCTAATCCCCGTTTGTTATTCTCCAAATATTTAAGGGATCATTTGATGCCCTTTTCCTTTAACAAGAGGGTGGAAGAGATATTGGCTTGAAGCCTTTATGATTTAAGACTAAATTAGCAAATCATTTCCCATGCGTTATCTCTGTATTCCATGTAACACGCTACTGTAGGGCAGATAAATAGAATACTGCAAATGAGGGGTGAAACAGGCGTGGGGCAATTTTTATTGCAGAATTTGGAGCATGTTTGGGGGTACAAAAATGTCTTTACTTATGGCTGACATTGATTCTGACCTTATCTGTTGCAGATCCACCGAGCGACCCTCGCTCTGCCTTTCCTTGCAGTGGAGGTGAGACTCAGGCATTAAGGAGGCTGCACCATTATTTCTGGGACACGGTAATTAGTGGTGCACTGTTTTGTTTTTGCAAGGGCAGAAAATAGAGGACATTGTCTGTGTTTTCCATGTAGGAGATTCCCAGCTCTGATTCACTGATCATAATCATAACAGCAACAGTTTAGACTTCAACCCACTCAGTGGTTTCTAGGTACAGTGGGGTCTTGACTTGAGAACTTAATCCGTATTGGAAGGCGGTTCTCAAGTCAAAAAGTTCTCAGGTCAAATCTGCATTTCCCATAGGAATGCATTGAAAACCATTTGATCCGTATCTGCTCTTTTCCGTCCATAGAAACTAATGGGAAGCTGCTATTCTGCCTTCTGCCACTAGAGGGGGATATTTTGTTTCTTTTTTTCTTAGGTCAAGAAAGGTTCAGGGAAGGCAGGGAAAAGACAGTCCAGGCAGTACAAGTACCAGGCAGTCCGAAGACTGCCTCCCAATCCACTCTCTAAACGCTGGGAGGAGTGAGGAAGCAGACAGGCACCCTTTTCACTGGCCAACAGTTAACTGAAAGTTCACATTTTGCACTTTCCCTGCCTCCCACGTGGTTTTTTTCAGTTCTTAACTCAAATCTAAGTATGTAAGTCAAATCAATATTTTCCTATGAGAGTGGTTCTTAAGTCAAAATGTTCTTAACTCAAGCCGTTCTTAAGTCAAGACCCCACTGTTTAATCCTCTTCAGAAGCGGTTCGCTTCTTCTGGCGGTGCTCTGGGGTCACCATGCCGTAGGTTGAAGGCTATCCAAGGTAGCAGGAGACCTAACCCTACTCTGAGTGACTTCAACTGGCCCCTCTCCTGGGAGGCAGGTAGTGACTTGAACTCGTGACCCCGGGTGTCTCAGCTGGATGCTCCAACTCATTGAGCTGTGCCAGCTCTTCCCGATTCCCCCGACTAAAAAGGCTGGAGTCCCCCACCTAAAATCCTAGAATACTATTGCTGGGAGCATGAAAAAAAGATAGAGACATTTCCAAAGTTAATAATCACGTGCCATCAATTCAATTTGAACTTGCGCTGATTTTTTTTCCAGGATTTTCCAGGTAGACAATACCATTACAGTGGTGCCTCGCATAGCGATGTTAATCCGTGCAGCAAAAATCGCTGCTAAGCGATTTTGTCGCTATGCGATTTTAAAAAGCCCATAGAAATGCATTAAAACCTGTTTAATGCGTTCCTATGGGCAAAAAAATGACCTTAAAACGAAGATCCTCCATACGGTGGCCATTTTCACTGCCTCTTAAGCAAGGAATACGTGCGGAAACACAGCAGGTGGCCATTTTTGTACCCGGCAGCCATTTTGGAACCGCCGATCTGCTGTTAAAAAATCATCGCTTTGCGATGATCGGTAAGCAAAACAGGGAACCGATCATCGCAAAGTGAAAAAACCCCATAAGAAGCATCGCAAAGCGATCGCAAAAAGTTCGTTGCTATGGGGTTTCGTCGTTAAACGGAGCACCCGTTAAGTGAGGCACCACTGTACTGTCTTTTTCTTCTGAGGTTACCCTGGGATTGTGCAGCTTGCCCAGGGCCATACAGGATGGCTCTGCCCCATGGAAGGCAAAAGGAAGAATCGAACTGCCAACCTCTGGTTAGCCAGCGAGATCCCTAAAGCCACTGAACTTTTCCAGACTTAAGGCTTTGTTCAAAAGCAGGTTGTTCCCATTTCTGGCTACTAGAGGGCTCTCTATTCCATTAAAACCTGCCCTATTCTTCAAGAACCCTTAAACGGCATTCTATTTTAACACTTTTTTGGGGGGGTGAGGTCCTTTAATCCCACCCCCCTGAAAAGCACATCTTTTATTTGCACAGAACTGCGTTGCTTCCTACAAGGAGACCCGAAATGGATTGATAGGAGTGGATTACTCAACCAAGTTTGCTCCCTGGTATGTTTCTGAATCTACTCTGGGTTTTATTATTATTATTTATTTATTTCAACAAATTTTACCTCTCCTTTCTCCTTAAAAGGATATTTTCAGTTTGGTCTTTACAAGACCTGTCCTGGACACCAGCGTTTCAGCATCTTGTAACATTTCCTTTCAAGTTTGGACTAAAACCTAGAGTGAATCCGTCATCTCACTGACATGGGAATGACCAGCTTCTATTGCCTCCAGAACCCCCCCTCTCTCACACACACACACATACACACACACACACACACACGAGACCAACAAAAGTGAATAGCTGCTTAGCTGGGCGGGTGTGAGAAGGCCATACCTCTTTGTATGGGGGAACGAACAAAAATGGGCAAATATTCGTCCCTTCATATTCATCCCTTCGTATTCATGAGTTCTCTGGAACTCACAAATACAAAGGGACAAATATTTAACGAATCAGTGACTTTTAACAAATTTTGCGATTCGGCTTTTTATTAGTCCCCAATCCATACTGTATTCCCGCCCACCCTGAGTCTACAGGATAAGGTGGGATATGTGATTTTTAAAGTATACTGACGATGGTCCTTCTAAGCTCAGATTCAGCCCATACAGGATAGTATCACACCCCAGGGTATGAATGTGGAGGGGCTCACGTTTCCTGACGATATCCTGGATGATCTGTTCTTGTTTTCTTTCTAGGCTGTCTCTGGGCTGCATCTCGCCGAGGTATATTTACCATGAGATTCGGAAATACGAAAAAGAGCGGACTGCAAATCAGAGTACTTACTGGTAGGATATGATTTATGGGCTGGATTGCTTCAGAAAATATACTTAAGATCCTACCGGTTGTTTACATGAGTTTTAGAGGAAACATGGACATCACAGTGACTAATTAGAGTTTACCAATGAGGTGTTGTCTGTGTGTCAGACGCAGAACCAGGGGGTGCAAATGACATGTGGCCAAGAACTCCTCAGTAAATCACAGGGACTTCCGTGTTTCAGAAAACACAGAAGTCCCCATGACATTTACATCAGATTTCGGCTGAGTATCAGGAAAAACTTCTTAACTGTTAGAGCAGTACAAGAATGGAACCAGTTACCTCAGGGGAAGGTGGTGAGCGCTCCAACGCTGAAGGAATACAAGGGAAAACTGGACCACCACCTATCAGATCTGCTTTGATTTGGATTCCTGCTTTGAGCAGGGGGTTGGACTTGATGGCCTTAGAGGCCCCCTTCCAATCCCATTATTCTGTGATTTTATGCATGAATACCCAGTAGGATTCCGGCTACTGTTTGCATTAACCATATCACATTTTGAAACGTTACAGGCCTTGTAAATTGGGCCCGTGCACAAAGCCGGGTGAGATCAGATGTGTTTTATTTCTACACCTGGAATGTTACCTGTGTGTCCATTTTTTTTGTAGGGTGCTCTTTGAACTGATGTGGAGGGATTACTTCCGGTTCGTAGCCCTGAAATACGGCAACAAGATTTTCTTGGTGAGAGGTGAGTTGGGGGGAGATGAGGTGCCTCGTGAAGCAGAGCCGTCCTTTGCGGGAGACACCAGAGTGAGGGCAAGAGCTGAGTACCTTTACTCTGAATTTCCTGTATTTTTCCGTGTATAAGACGCCCCCATGTATAAGATGCCCCCCCTTTTCTAATCCAAAATTAAGAAATCTAAGTGGGGCTTAGCAAGTGCAAGGGGAAAGGGATCAAAGCGCTGCAGGATCGCTTTGATCCCTGCTTCCCCCTCCACTTGTTTTTGTTCTCGCCTCAGCTTACTTCCATGTATAAGATGACCCTCAATTTTTAGTCTAAAGATTTTAGACAAAAGTATAGTCTTATACACGGAAAAATACGGTAGTTTCCTCATGACACCACACAGCCAATCAGATTTGGTTACCCAAATGGCAAAGTCCCAAAGCCAAAACAGGGAGGCTAGTCCTTCCCACCATCGTTCTGGTGCAGCTTACGCTTGAGAGAACCACATTCAGCAACATTACGGCATATTTACCTCCCTTTCCCAGACTGATGATGAAGAAAAATCAAGAAGCCGAGGGTATGTGTAGGTAAAGCCTTGAGTTCTTTTTTTTTTTTAAAGACCAAAATGTTGGTTTTATATCAGCCCTGTTTATGTTGCCGTAAGGAATAGCGGAAATCGTAAAGTTATCAGCTGCTTTGTGTCCTTTTAAGGAGAAAGGCAGGGTAAAAAATCACTTATAAATGAAATATATCAGTGAAACAGAGCTGAGTTGTGCAGCCCAGGAAGTTATGACACCGGGACTTCTTCCTGAGTAAGGCATGCATGGGATTGAAATCTTTTTCAGTACATTTAGTCGCCCTGATGTCCAAGCTGGCCTCGCTGGCAGTTCTCTCTCTTTTCTGTCCCCCCCCCCCACATACAACGGGCTTTAGCCCTGCTTACTGGTGGATCCGTCCCAAACTGGGAATTTGGTCCCTTGACTGAAGAAGGCCCTGCTGCTTAACGATGCAGAGTTAAAGTAGTAAACTGTTGTGGCTGATCATAGATCTGAACTTGGAAAAACGGAGGGACTTGCCAGATGGAAGACACTCTCATAGGTGAAATTCCAACTAGGATTTGGAAGGTAGAAGGGAACTCATCCATTCTGGAGCTGCGTAGATAGCTCAGTGATTTAAGGCATCTGGTGGTGGAGCCAGAGGTTGGGAGTTCGATTCCCCCCTGTGGGCCTCCTCGACACAAGGGGCTGGATTCGAGGATCCAGAAGGTGCAATGATCCAGCCATGCAGTTCTAAGATGGTAACTCTTGGTATATTCTCTCCCTGTCCTTGATCCTCACATAGGGCTTCAAGAGAAGGAGATTCCCTGGAAGAAAGACCCAAAGTTATTTGATTCTTGGAAAGGTCAGTAAAACAAAGGCTGCCTGGGAAATTCCAGAATCCGAACCCAGAACCCATTCCAGAATCTGAATGCTCTTCCGTCACCTCAAGCAGCCATCATGAACTTCCCCAGAGCAGCCTTTCCAGCCTTGGGGCTGTCCAGAGGTTCTGGATGACACACACTCTCCATCTTCCCCAGCCAAGTGGCTTCTTGCTCATGCTGTGTAGGGACGATGGGTGTTGTGGTCTGGCCCCCTCTGAAGGGCCCCGCCATGAGGAAGGCTGGCGTAAAAATAAAGGCGCTGGTCTGTCTGTCTGAGCTGTCACGAGCTATCTGGCTGGTTTTTATGGCGCTCCTCTGGCTCCCAAGGCCATTCTGGATCATTCACAACAGAAAAACGGACAATAATTGACATTGGTAAACTAAACTAAAACAACGTCAAATAATATAGAGGAATAGACATGCCCAAATAAATTCTGAGCATTATGGACTGCAAAATAAATGCACAGAAACAACAATGAACCATGATGTGAGAAAAGAGGAGGTGGTGGCCACTAAAGCCAACAGGAGTGGGAGATGTTGCTGTTGATTTTCCTAGCACCGCCCCATTGATTCCTGCTAGATTTTGCCCCCCACCCCCC